AAGAAAAAAGAACTATTTTCTTCTGTGTTCTTCTGTTTTTCCTCTAACCGTCAAGAAGCAATTTTTTTTACAGTAGCGGTAGGAACAGAGTCATATTATTTGATAGTTCCAGGTTCTAGAATGTGTCATAACCTGTTGGTGTACCAGGAACCGTCAATTTGCCCCTCGTCAGCCGTTTTCGCCAAGATTTTGGTATACAACAATAGTACGTTTTACCGCTTCCTTTGCTGCTTCGCCTCTGGCTTTTTCTCGTTTTTTTCCAAAATAAGTAAACGTACACCATAGAACAACCAGTAAACTACAACCGGCTATAATTCCTACAACTGCCACCAAATCTTCTGCAAAACAAATTCTTGTCAGAATATTCAAAATTTTAGTTTTTGCCATGATAACCGTAAGAGATGGGTACTGTGATAATCACTTTTTATGGTAACATTTCCCATTTATCCATGATATATCCATTATCCTTTATACTCAAGCTTTATTTTGATCATTTGGGCTTTAAATAAAATCCCGCAAAGGTTAAATCAGGAAAAAATTGAATAAAACATTGTGAATGCACAGTCCTGTAAAAAAAAAAAGAAGAAAAAAAAGGAAAGAATTAATAGATTATTGGTTTATTTCATTTCTTCAGTTAACATCACACAACAAATGTTCTAAAACTCTGCAACTGATAGCTTTAAAAAGAATTAAAATGATATAACTTACGTTTATCAATAGAAATCTGAAAAAAAAAAAATGAAAGTTTGTGTTTGCTCAGAAAAATACGTTAATCTTTTTTTTTTTTGGAATCATAAGACGTCTAAGTAAAAGCGTATTTTTTTTTGTTGTTGTTGTTTTTGCTTTCTGGAAAAACACTTACTGAAAATGTTATAAAAGTTACATTGTCAAAAAGCTGAGTAGGATTAGGAAATTGCACGCGACTTTCTTCCATCTATTGTCGTCAACAAACTACTTTGGCAATTGAAGGATTGCTATGACTGTTTAAAATTATCACTGAAAATAACTGGAAAAGAAAATTATTATTATTTGGTCATTCTTATTATTCTTACTGTTATTTGTGCAATAATTATTGAAAAAAATTTAAGTTAAATAAACTGAAAAGAGTTAAAAAAAAAGTAGAAAGAAAAACAGCTGCACTTGGTGAAATAGTAAGGTTCAATAACTTTATTTCTCTTTTTTTGCTTTTTTTGATTTATAGTATTTTTCTACGAAGCAATTTTTGAAGTCATTTTTCTTTGCCAAACCAATACATAACATTTTCAAAAATAAAATGTATACACGAAACCAATTTACCATATACAGTTTAACATTTACATCAGTAAAACATTCCCCAATTATCCAATCAATTTTTCTACAAATTACAACTGAATCAAACATCCTCGAAATATTCATTTTTTGAGTATTAATGTTCCGTTAAACTGTTGAAGGATGTACGCTGTATCAACATCAGTTTTGTCATTTACTCTATTTTAAAGACTTCATTGATCACTCTTCAGTTGTTAACAGCACTTTTCCACTAATTCAGCCACATACAGTGCAGTTATGCCAATTACTGACCTCTTTTTTGAAAGACACAAAAATTTCCAAGTTGCTTGCATCAATATTATCCTGTGAATAAATTGAACGAAAAAAACAGAAGCAGAAGAAAAATGTTTTTACTTGGCACAGCAGCTTAGCTTGTATAATATGCGTTTCAAGGAAACATATATCAGAGTGGCAAGAAAATGACCCAAAAAAAATCTTACGGTATAATATCATTTTCACCAAAAAGTACAATGAGAAAAAATTACTGCACAAAAATCTTTCATCAAATTCCATTCATTTACTCATTTATTTGTTTATCTTATTTGATTTGTTCTTCACGGTTCTATTCCATTGGGCTTAAAGTTTGGTAGTTTTACTTTATACCTCCCTCTCCCCCTTCTCATGCCCTTCACAAGTTTGCCCTCAAAAACAGATGTCGTTTTCATAGCCAAACTTTACGCCTTTTACAGCTTTTTTATAAAAACCGTTTATCTCAGTTCCAGACCCTTCAGCTGATTACCTCAATGTCACGAAAGTAGGAAACTGTTCATTTGGAAGAGAAATTCTTTGCCTTGTTTTCTTTTTTACAGCAACTGTCCTCACCGAAGTTTATCGCAATCAAGTATGATGCTTTTAGTCATCTTCTAACACGTGAAAGATCCATAAAACGTTGCTCCTTAATTGCAGGTCCTAAAGCCTAATAATACGAGTTTACTGCGTATAGCAAAACCAAAATTATTAGTCTGCTGAAAGCTGACTACAAAGTCCCTATCATTTCTCTTTTTTCTTTTTTTTTTTCCTTCCCGCTCTCCCCCCCGTTCCCCTTTCCAGTTTCCTCCTGTTTTAGAACCCTGTTGAGACATTTTCTCCAATAAATTACCTATTAATCACAAAATTAAAAATTTCCTTCAAAAAGTCGACCATCTGCAATTAATTTTTAAGACCCACGTAAACTAATCAAATAGCAGTTTTGCTAAAACCCAGGAACTTAAATATGTAGCTATGGAGAATGGCCTAAGTTAGTGTATAAAAATTTCTTTCTAAAAACGCTAGTTTATCTGATTTTTAATTGAATTGACAAAAAATTCATTGTAAAGCCCAGTTTTTTTGTTTTATCTTCAAATTTTTAAACCTCTTTAAAGTACCATATTGAAGAGTTTGAAAGTAACATCAGTAGAATTAACTTTCAACACTAAACACCGAACAAGATAAACCACTTTTGACCATTTCAGTGGTTAAAATGTAGTTGTACCTACCGTAAAATTTTTAATTTAGAGAATTGGAGGCTAATGTTTTGAACAGTCTGTTTATGACCCCTGCAATACTTCGTCTCCGTCAGAAGCAAAAATTTCAGGCAGAAAACGACACTTTAAAAAAACTGGTAAAATTTGTTTTAGAAACTTCTAACAGGCCTAGTAAAAGCTTTAATCTTTTTTGGAACTTTCAGTAATACTTAGAATCCGAGAACTGCTGCCTTTGCTACCAAAGTAACGCAGCTTATTTGAATCCACATCAGCTCAGAGGGTGGGAACAACAATGACTGATTTGCTTTGCGACAGTGTTCCAATTAGAATACGGTGCATTTACCGATATTTTCCTTAACAACCGTAAAATATGTGGAGCAAACGAACTGGAAGATCACAGAAGCACAGCAAAACTCCAGGTTACAGACCCGCGGTTATTTTTGACACTACCCATGTTACCACAAAATAACATCTCGTCCCAAAACACAAGAAGTGAATGTGATTAATTTTATGCTTTTTTCCGAGTCTAAGTAGCAGCACTTATTTCCGCATACACTTTAATTCGAAAAGCAAAAGTAATTCAATTAAAAAAGCTCTCTGTACTTCTCAAATTAGCAAAGAAAGGCCTCCTCAGAATTACTTTCCCAGTAATCCGCAACCAATCTTTATACTTCGTTTGTAATTTTAAATGCATCGAACGTAGGACATAATAAATTGCAAAATAAAATTGAATATAAAAAACCATGAACAAGTTATGTTTCAGTTTTTAAAACCTCAACCGAACAACTATCACAGTTGATGCAAGATCCAGTTTTTTAAGGCATAAAAATAAATCAAAGTGAAAAAAATGACGATTTAGAACAGATAAAATAATAACTTATATTAACGTTAACAAGAAACAACTCAGTAAAAAATGGAAAGAATCCAGAGGTTCAACAAGACACAAATAAATAAATAAATAAACTTTCTATAATCAGTATCCTTCGAAACACTGAAACAGCATGTGGTTCTTTTGTGTTTTTTACTTTGAGTGCTAACTTTCACCAAAAGCAAGTGAAAACCCCCAAACAACAATCCAAACAACAGTTTTGTTGTTTTCACTCGTAAATCAAAATCATGCTTTTCTTTTGTGTCAGAAACTAGAATTGTTGATTTGTTCCGAAGGCAAATCATTTCTGAGCCGCAACGTTTTCCTTGCTTCCTCACCAGTGATTAAACGATTATGATGCTGCAGTTGCTGATAGAACTCCATGGCCTCGGTAACCGTATCCACATTTATCAATGATACAATCTAAAAAGGTATAAATAGAGGAAAACTTCCTAATCATAAAAAACTTCAAAGAAGAAAATTATCCACTATTTTCTTGAAATAAACAGATTAATTTCAACCTGTGAAAAACGCGAGAACTTTTCTCTTACTGACCACCCTGAAATATTTGTTAAATAGGAAGTTAATGCACGAAATTCTCTGTCTAACTGTAGAGCCCCCAGCCTATTAAAGCTGCATTTGAATATCACACGTTCCATTTGGCGCATTACTTCTGCACAAATAACTGCCAACAAAGCCTTAAAAAACATTGCTCAATAAACAAAGAACTTCTAAATCAATAATATTTAACCTACTATCTTCAGAAAACAGTTTACAAATCATTCGAGCCAAAATAACCAACTGCTAAAGAATTTTATTGGCCGTTAATTTAAGAGAATACAGATTTTCTTAATGAGAAACCACTTTAAGTGAATGTGATCTTCACCTCTGACACAAAAGCACAAAACAAAACAGTAGAAAACAGAACCAGTAACTCTGCATAATGCGGAAATTTTTAAAATCATACAATCCATAACAAATTTCAAAAAAAACCTTTCTTTGTAACTGAAATCAATGCAAAAGATTTTAATAAATACCGAAAAAGTCGAAATTTTTTAAGAAAAATGTTGAGAATACTGTTCTGCACCGACCTGATAATTAGCCGGCACCAGTAAAGGTTCAAAGGAAGCCAATAATCGGTCCAAAACAGCAATAAAACCATCAATAAAAGGTTCTACAGCTTCAAATTCAGCAAACTCAGCTTCTGACAAAGTATGGTTAACGTCGAGGTATAAGTCCGACCTATATTACAAAAATTAACAAGAAGCAAATTGTCTTTTAGGTACCTATCACTTACTCAGATTTAAGCTTCGGCCGAAAAGCTGCTGTACATAGTTTCTCCACACCTCCATTAGCACCACCATCAAATTTACGGCAGAGATCATCAAACTGACCCATAGCACTTTCTAACTTGCCCTTCTCTAGGTCACTTACCTGAAAATTTAACTTATAAATATTGGATTTCAAAAATCAGTTAGATACAGACCGCAATTTAATATATAACATTTTCACCTACTAACCTGGCTAAGATGCTTTAAAAAATCCTCAGAAAGTCCCTTTTTTAAGGTCCTGACACAGTCGACAGAAAATCTGACATTGTTCAGAGAAGTAAGGAACACCTGGAGGTATTAATTTACAAAATGATATTTCCAGCCACTGCTATGAAAGAAATAGTGCAAAAAACTTAAAATCAATAAACTGAGAAAATGCCTGCTACTGGATGCTTATCAATACCTCTTTCTGCTTTTCCGGACCGGCATCAGCCACAGTTTTACCATGTTGGATAACATTATATGCAGTCTGAGCAGTCTGATAGGCTTCTGCTGTCCACCCTACACTAGGGTAACCAGCCTGAAAAAAAAAACCCTAGATTTAACGAGCAAAGCAAATCTCTGTGCAATTTTGAGTCTTTGCCTACTGTGAAAGCTTGCTGCTCTTAATTACCTTGATTCCAGAATAAATAAATTTGTAGAAATCCACTTCTAACGCCGTAGCACCGTTATTGATCATTGCACAAACACAGTCAACAGACGAAGAGGAAATCGACCGTCGTATGCACTTTCGCACGATGAAAAAAACGTCATCTAACATTGAACTGAAAAAATTTCAGCCAAGCTAAAAACAATAATATACAATTGTTAAAGGAACCACATATTATTAGAAATATCTAATATATTTCAAATAAAGAAGTGAACACTCAAAACCTGGTCAAAGAATCAGGATCTTTCTGTTCCATTATCATAGCCTTTGAAACAGACTCTTTCATATAATACTGCTCCATCAGAATATAGCGTCCCAGTAGTTCCTATAGAGAGAAATAACACTATAAAGTTTCATAAGAAAAAAAGAAAAATGATATAATTAATAACTATAAAATAGGGATAATAAACTATTCGATAAAAAAACAAGTAAAAACCTGCATCCTCGTCCCTAACAGCGATCTATTTAGTAAGTTATCCAACTTCCTATCGCGAATTTCTTTCTCTCTGGCCTTCTTTTCTTCAAACTCCTCCTTTTCATTTTCAGGAATGTCTTCATTTTCTGCCTCCTTCTTCTAAATACCAGCATTCACTACCTGTACTACACAGAAAGATGGAAAACAAACCTGCTCATTCATCTTCGCATCTGCCGCATCAAGACGCCTCTTTAAATAGCGCCAATAGAGTTTTGCACGCATGTGCATTAAAGTAACCTCCGAAAGAACGACATCTAATTCAAGAGCATCCATTTTTTCTAAAAGAAAAAAACGAAAATGGCAGGTCAACAAAATCAAAAATCAAAATATCATCTATCTGAATTTGTAATTAAGGCATTAAGAAGTAATATATATTTCATAAAAAAACACTGCTTTACAGATACGCCAGTTTTATTCAAATTAGCGGCTTAAATAACCCGCGGTTTTACAACAAGTCTACTAACTATAGCTTTAAAAAACAAAGAATTAAAAATAACCTAAGGACGTATATTTATCTGGATTTCTCAAAAATTTTTCAACCAGCTTCGCTTTACTCTCATACTGACGATTTTTGATGAAAGCAGCAATTATGCGTTCAGATTCCTTATCACATTCAACCTAAAAAATTATGAGCCAAATCTCTCAGAATGTCAACTAAAATAAATTAAGACCAGAAAAAATTTGAAAGTGAGAGGTGCAAAGAACCTGTAACAATTCTATTAACGATAGCATTTTATCTGGACCATAAAAAGAATCAATAAGCGGCTCATGAACTTGGATTTCGCGAGCAATACCTAAAAAATAACCATTTAGAACAAAGCTAAGAGATAACCAAAGTGTGATTATACTAAAAAGGTGTATATTAAAAAAAACAAGTTAAAACTACCATTAGTATTTATTCTCCAAAGTTCAAAAAGGAAAGCTTTAAATAAAAGGCACTGTTGACAACCGACCTTCAAACAGCAGTGTCAGTGAATCTGCATATAAGACGTTTACTCTCTTATCATCTGTACCTCCAGCCATCATTATCTAAACACCAAAAATCGACAAATGGGATTGAAAAATCTTCACTGTAGAATTACCTTGTAATTATCTTCTGCAAATGCACGAGTTTTCTCACAGAGGTAATGCCCAAAGCGATTAATGCCACCCGAATGTTCATTGATAAGAGGAAATAGCTTGAAGAACCTTTGTAATGAAGCGACGTCATCGCTTTGAACTGCCTGAAATGTTCTTCGAATAATCACCCATAGGCGTTTTCTAACAATCCAAGCGGTGATTCAGAAAGCTCCTACCTCATCAAATTTGGCTTCAATAATGGCCTTCAACTGTGCAGTCGCTTCTCTAAGCACTTCGTAACTATATTTCATCGACTGTCCGGCGTCTAAAGGTTTTGTTTGTAAATAAACCCGAAAATTAGATAAAACAAATGACACAAGCGTTATACCAAGTCATAATTAAAAGATACCAAAAAACTAGCCAGAATTTTCTAGCTCAAAAAAACAATTACGAAAGTGTGTCTCTAACCTTCAAACTCGAACAATTTTCCCAAAAATTATTTCTCAAAAGTATCAAGAAATTGTCAATCCTAAAGTGATTTCTAGAAATCGTTAATAAAAAAATTAAAAAAGAAAATATGCTTTAAAAAACCTTTAGCATCAACTTGATCGCCCATTTGAAAAACAGCGCTGTCAAGGGTAAGAAACTTATGAATATGTTGCGCGGCAGCTTCATAATCTTCCTGTTCCATAGCTGTCTTAACTCCTTCAGCACAAGTCCGAAGGTCCATCAAATCACTTACTCGTTGCAAACATTCAACAACACGACCTTTAGCAACATCAAGCGTAGATACCTAAATTCATAAGACTCTAAAGAAAGGATGGTTAGAGATATGGAATATTTTCAAATTATTGAGATCCACAGATGCTACTAATGAGAACGGAGTCTTACGTAATAGGTACTGTAAAACTTAGACGCGCATAAATACTGATGGTTTAGAAATTAAAAATAAGAAGTGTTAAGTACAATGTTACCGACTGGTATTACTCGGTCACTACGCACTAACGAAAAAAATTGAAAAGAGTAATTCCGTGTTAAGCTTGAAAGGTCCTTAAGTGCAAAAGGACGAATTTCCTAGATAAAATTCTACTACCTTTCCAGATATGCTGTCGGCCAAACCAGAAATTATCTTGAGATTGTTTGCAAGTTGCTTCGCATCTGATTCCACCAGAGTCATCTGATTATTCAAACGAGTGACTGCTAAATTGAACGAACGAATGATGTCTGTCCCACCTAAAAAATGACCTTTATTTTATTCTGAATCAAATCCCTAACAGGTCCTAAAAAAAAAAAAA